CAGACGTTGTTCAAGTGACTAGCCAAAGTTAGTTTTTGTTCGTCACGGAGTTTTACCAGCCACCACCCTCTCTTATATAGTCTCTGGGGTGTGGTCCAGTGACTCAGTTCTAATCCCTAGCACGCCTCCTTAACTGCTGCAACCGTTTATCACGCCTTCGTTGGCGTGCATCCAGGAATGACGGCTCTCCTTCTTCGCTCTCATCCGAGACACCTGGCTCCTGGCTAATCTCTTCTCCCTCGGCCGGCACCTGAGACAGTGCCAGAGGGGAGGGGCCTGGAGAGGGAGGCCTGGCTGACTCCTCTCCCTCATGTTTGGAGCTTTCTTCCTCCGATAAGATAGGCTCAGAGGGCGGGGCCACAACACATGCACACTGGCCAGCTGCTCTTTGTGCGTGCATGTGCAGCAGAAACTGGAAGACCAGGTGGCCAGTGCACATGTGTGTGCTGGAAACCAGAAGAGCAGCCACCCGGCACACACATGCGGCTGGTCTTCCGGTTTCTGGCACACAAGTGCGCGTGCGTGGTCCCGTTTCAGCACTCAGCGCCAAAAAGGTTTGCCAACCCTGATCTAGGCTATGCATCTCCCACTAATTACTGCTCAGATCAAGCCATCCAATAGCTGAGCAGAAAAAATGGCAGTTCTCTCTGTCTAAGAATAGCAGCCAATTACCAAAGCTATAGCTTCCCCATCAGCCCTTCATGAATTCACAAATAGCAGAAACAGGGGAGATGGCATAAAATGTTAAAGAAAAATGTTTCTAGCATTCATTTCCTTAAAAACACACAATCACATATTTGTCTATAATATTCAGGGTGGGGGCATATCTGTGTATCTTACAGTTGCAAAACATTAAATTTAAATCAATAATGTGGAGTACTTGGGGCTCTCTGATCTTGGTTGCTTGCAGATATTTCACTACCCAACTAGGTAACACTGTCAGTCTTCATGCCAAGCTTGGTCTAAGATCCAAAAGTTTCCTAGTTGAAATTGTGGTTGAGTTTGTCCTTGTGTTGTGATATTAAATTTTCCTCCTGTCTTCTGACTGCTAGTTGGCGTTCATGGATGTTCTCTGCTAACCATCTGCTTATCTGTCCTACATAGTGGCTGCTATAATCCTTACATTGCATGTTGTAAATGACTACTGTTTTTATTTCTTGGCTATTGGGCTAAACCCAAATTCTAGGGGATTCCTGGAAGCTTACTGTTCAGACAAATCAGCCATCAATAATCAGAGATAAACCATATTTACAAAGCATTCAAAGGAGACAACAAAAAAGCTAAGAAGGAAACAAAAGGATTAGAACACATCCTTTCCATCAGTCATCCCTCAGATAAGTAGGAATTAACAACAAACAATCATGCAGAAAACAGTACTCCAATCAAGTAATTACCAAGGAGAAAACATGTCAGCTCTGTAAGGTAGACCAGACAGAAAGCATGGCAAGATAAGTTAATTCTGGTTACATTAACAGAATCTTCTAAGTCTGAAAGAGCACTTCTCCCTCCTCCCTTTTACATCCCAAGGAACTAGGGAAGATCTCTTCTGAGCCACTTGCTCTGTTCACATTGCTGCTGTGGGCTATGTTGCCTTCTATCTCATTGTACCTTGGCTATGACTCTTCTCCATCTCCCAAGGTGATACCCACATACCAATAGAGAACCACTTTGCTATCAAAATTGGCAGCTATTGTATATAAAACAAGGAACAAATTTCATACTGACTCACACTAATAGTATTACCTAGTTGGGTAATAAAATGTCTGCAAGCAAACAATCAAGCTCAGAGAGCTCTAAGCATTGTTCAATCCTGAGCTACACGTAATCTTGTCCACTAAGGTCAATGACTCCTTACTAGGAAAGACAAACAGTATGTATGTGTTTGTATGTACACATACACACACATACACATTCAACATATGTAAGCTTTTCAACTAACAGTTAACACCTATTTGTTGTTAGATAAGGAGCAATGGAATTTAAGGGAAATTGGACTTCATCCACTTGTGGCTATGTAGAGATTCTAGGCCAGTGATGGCAACCCTTTCTGGCACCGCATGCGCTTATGGGCCGCAACCTAGAAGAGCAACTGCCCGGGGCACATGCATGCGCCCGGAAATGAACTTATGGTTTCAGTTAATGAACTTACAGTTTCAGCCAATCAATACTATAAAATACTTCATGCTTTTCACTGTAGGAAGTCCAATTTGGATTGGGAAAATATGGTAGGGAAAAATATTTCCTATCTCAGAACTGATCCAAGTCTTTCTCTGTGCAGCAATACTTGAATTTGATATGAAGAGATCTTCATCACAGATTTCTGTTTGAGTTTGGTCTTGAGCACAATAGAGAATAAATAAAGAAGTAGAAGGGAAATAAAACAAATGGCAATGGAGGATGGAAGAGAGAAGCAGGAGAGAAGAAAGCAAAAGATTAAACCATAGCATATGATTTTCCTGAAAACTGCCTGTCATACAAAAGACAGGTGGAGATGCAGAGTTGGACCATGAAAGCAAGACAGAGGATTTGCAAAGGGAAAGTTCTCATCATGCGACCATGTGGAGATGACCATTATCATCTCTAACATGGTACCAAACAATGTTGAAAGGCTTAAAGACGTACTTTTGGGGCCAGGATTTTTTGCATTAAATTATATATATATATATATATATATATATAAAAATAATTTTTAAGAGAGGAAGTTGGCATACTGCAAAGTAAAAGTACCACTTTGTCTCACTTTCATTAATGTATCTAGAACCCAATTTTAAAAAAAAACAAAAATAGTAATGAGAGATCTGGTGCTTTGCTTGAATGTTATGTCCACCTTTGCTTGGGAAAAAAGTGTTATATTATGTTCCTTATTACAGCCACTTTGTGCACAGAAAAATCTACCCTAGTGGCAATTTTGTAAGTTTCCCAAATATGCATTTATAACCCAAAAATGTTGGGGACTCCAGATACTGGCATCAACTAACTATAAATGTTAACTGTACTTCAGTGATTTCATAATCAAGAAACATAGTTGCAGTATACACGTAGTCCTCAACTTACACAATTGAGCCCAAAATTTCTGGGACATGAGACATTTGTTAAGTGAGTTTTGCTCCGTTTTACAACCTTTTATGAGTTGTTAAGTGAATCACTGCAGTTGTTAAGTTAAAAACACAGTTAAGTGAATTTGGCTTCCTTATTGACTTTGCTTGTCAGAAGGTTGCAAAAAGTGATCACATGACTCCAGGACACTGCAGCCCTCATAAATATGAGACAGTTGTCAAGAATCCGAATTTTAATCACATGACCATGCGGATGCTGCAACAGTCATAGGTGTGAAAAATGATCATAAGTCACTTTTTTTCAGTGCAGTTGTAACTTCAAACAGTCACTAAATGAATTGTTTAAGCTGAAAAATGTATTTCATTTTTTAAGAATAGAAATCATGAAAAATCATCAAAATCTCAAGCACACAAATAAAATGTACAACCATATTAATGCCATGGCTGGGGGCCTGTTCATTGTAAAATAAGTTTTTTTTCTACAGGAAGTTTCAGTACATTTATTTATTTTACATTGGGGGTTTTGAAGATGCAGCTGGCAACGCAGTGAAATAACCCATGAAACAAGGCCAACAATGTTAACATGAAAAAATAGACTGGCTATACCTCAAGAAAGCTTAACATACACAGTTTTCACATGCAGAGAGGGGAAAAAACGGTTTAAAAACGTTCGGCCAAAAGTTTGGATTTTGCCTCTGAATTTGGGAAGCACAAGATGGCTATCTAAGTCAGAAAGAGCATTGATTTAAACCTAATCAAGAACTTCAAACTGTTGTCTTTGCTCCAAGAATCAAAACACACCCTTAAATATTAGGCAGGCTTCCCAGTCTTCAAATTTAACTGATATTTTGTCATACTTCAAATAATGTTAAGTTAATATATCAATAAATCTATAGCAACCTGCTTGGAAAAGATAAGTCAATATAAGCATGAAGACAGCTATCAATTTATTTTGATAGTAGTTACTAAAGTAAAAGAACTACAATTATGTTTAAAACAAAAATCTAATAGAACTATTAAATATAATTTAAAGATAAAAAAAGGGTAAAATAATGTTACCTTTCTCAGGATTTCAAAAACAACCTGCAAAATTTACATGTACTAGTGTTAGCATAATTTCAGTTTACAGTCTTTTGACTGCTTCTAAACATTGGGCCCCACGAGGTTTTCATTAGAAAATAATAACTGATCCAAGTATATGTGCAATGACTTTAGTTTCTGTGCAAAACAAAAATGTCCACTTGGAAACACTTCACCTCAACCTTTACAAAAATGACCCCATTCATGTGGCTGCAGGCTTTTCAAATACAAGATGCCCTGTTCTGTGTTGTTCCAAATGTGATCAGCAATATTTATAGAAAGAAACAAGCAAATACTTGCATATTTTGCTCATACTGAAATCATTAGACATTGATTAACTGAATCTCACTAAATTTCACAAAAGACAGCTGCACAAAAGCTAACAAAATTATTTAATGATTCTTCTAAGAAATTATCTTTGGGATAAATCTATAAAGATTTTTAAACAACCATGCATACTGAAGGTACTTACACATCCAGCAAAGGGTGCTTTGGGGTAAAAAAATTAAGAAACATTTAGGTATATGTTCTAATAAGGGATAATTTATTACGTTATGAAAACACTCAGACATTTCAAAACTAAATGAACCAATTAATTTCATTGTCTATTCACTTTTGTCTGAAATGGTATAGGGTCTTCTGCTTGAGCAGGGGTTTGGACTGGAAGACCTCCAACTCTATTTTTATTGATTGAATAAAATCAAACAGAGATCTCCTGCCCATGCAACAAAAAACTACTTGTAAATATATTCAAACCAGGACACCCCAATTTTTCAAGCAATGCTATCATAGATATTTATTTCTCACATTCACTTAATAGCACAATATATCTAATTTAAAAAATTCTATTTCTCATCCACCTACCTGGTGGGCAATGACATTCAGAGGGTACATCTCTTGCTGTACGTAGTTTGGCTAATCCTTCGCTCAGTTTCTGTCAAGAAAGCAAATATATAAATAAAAATTAATAGCCAACAAATGTGATCCATGTTATTGTTAAACATACAACTCTTAGCCATATTGAAGCCAATGAGAATTTTCAATGAGAAAATTAAGGAAATGTTTAGATCTCTCCCACTGGAAATTCCAAGACTTGTTTAGCTTTGATTGGATCGCACCCATATTTAGTTAATTTTAAAATAATGAAGTACTTGAAGCCAAATAAACTACACAAACCAGCACTCTGTTTGTTCCTTTCAATTATTTTATATTTAATGTTCAAAATTACTTAGTAATAGTTGAATCTATTCTTAACCATTCATCACGTTTTTCCCTAGACACTTTGTAAAATCATTGACTGAGACCCAAATAAACAATGATATCCATATATCCCGGTTTCAGACCTGGGTACAGCACGGAAACGGCATTGGTCGCGTTGGTGGATGATCTCTGGAGGGCTCGGGATAGGGGTTACTCCTCTATCCTGGTCCTGTTAGACCTCTCAGCAACTTTTGATACCATCGACCATGGTATCATGTTGCGCCGGCTGGAGGGACTGGGAGTGGGGGGCACCGTTTTGCGGTGGTTCTCCTCCTATCTCTCCGACCGGTCGCAATCCGTGTTGACAGGGGGGCAGCGGTCGACCCCGAGGCGCCTTGTTTGTGGGGTGCCACAAGGGTCGGTCCTCTCGCCCCTCCTGTTCAACATTTATGTGAGGCCGCTGGGTGAGATCATCCGTGGTTTTGGGGTGGAGTTCCATCAGTACGCTGATGATACTCAGCTGTACATCTCCACCCCAGACCATCCCAACGATGCCTTGGAAGTGATGTCCCAGTGCCTGGAGGCCGTGCGGGTCTGGATGGGGAGAAACAGGCTTCGACTCAACCCTTCCAAGACCGAGTGGCTGTGGCTGCCGGCGTCCCGGTATAGCCAGCTGACGCCATCGCTGGTTATTGGGGGTGAATCATTGGCCCCCACGGAAAGGGCCCGCAACTTGGGCGTCCTCCTGGATGCACGGCTGTCCTTAGAAGGGCATCTGACGGCCGTGGCCAGGGGGGCTTTTTATCAGGTTCGCCTGATACGCCAGTTGCGCCCCTTTCTGGATCGGGACTCCCTACGCACAGTCACTCAAGCACTCGTCACTTCTCATCTGGACTATTGTAACGCTCTCTACATGGGGCTCCCCTTGGGGTGCACCCGGAGGCTCCAACTGGTGCAGAATGCGGCCGCGCGGGGGATTGTGGGAGCGACTGGGCGCTCTCATGTGACTCCTCTCCTGCGCGAGCTGCATTGGCTTCCGGTGGACTTCCGGGTGCGCTTCAAGGTGTTGGTGACCACCTTTAAAGCGCTCCATGGCTTAGGGCCGGGGTACTTACGGGACCGCCTTCTGCCACCAATTGCCTCCCACCGGCCAGTTCGCTCCCACAGAGAGGGCCTCCTCAGGGTGCCGTCGGCTAGACAATGCCGGCTGGCGACCCCCAGGAGGAGAGCCTTCTCTGTGGTGGCACCTACCCTTTGGAACAATCTACCCCCAGAGATACGAGTGATCTCCGACCTCCGGACCTTTCGTCGGGCCCTAAAAACTCATCTCTTTCAGTTAGCCGGTCTCTCTTGATTTTATGATTTTATGGTTGGTTTTAAATTTTGATATGGATTTTAAATTGATAAATTTTAAACTATGGGCCAAATTTAATTATTTTAAATCTATTTTTAATCGTATTTATGTATAAATGTTTTTATTTTGGCTGTTCACCGCCCTGAGTCCGAAAGGAGGAGGGCGGTATAGAAATTCGAATAATAAATAAATAAATAAATAAATAAATAAATAAATATGCATACTGTGCACAAAAATGGTATGCATTTTTTTAAACTAAAGGAATTACCTTTTATAGACTGTCTGTTTGTAGATAGGATTATGCAGCTTTCACGTTTAAAAAACGAAGAAGCTAGAAAATAAAGCTGCACTGTTGAATTTAGAATACTTGTTTCTATTCACTTTTGAGGCTCTATGCAGCATCATAGATTTTGCATCAAACCAAATAAAACAAATAATAAAATAAATAAGAGAAGGAGCAAGATATTGAAAACTAGAAATATTCATGCCAAATTGAAACTATGCAACTACTGACAATTCAGCAGCCAATTGAAAAAAGTAACCTATAACTTCCTCATGTCTATTCAGGCATTAGAAAGGAGTTGGGACAAATTACAAATTCTCTTTCTCCCATAGAATTAACAAAAGAACACAACCATTCCAATCTAGTTATTGTGGTGGGAATACCAATACTGCTTTTCCAGCTTGTACTACAAGCCTCTGAAAACTTCATTTCCAGTTTCAGAACAAAGATTCTGGGCATATTTGAAATAGCAAAGGCTTTGGAAAATTAAGATCCTATCCCTATGATACTATTGAAAAATAGATGAGACATTATTCATGTGTTATAATGGTGGCTCAGCTCAGTCTACAGAGAAGTTCTCCAGAATGGAGCAGTCAGACTGGAAGATTTAGAAAATTACAAAGAAAGCTCTACTTATATATTTAATGCAGCTCTGAAATACGTTGACACTTGCATTATGGGTTGATGAAGTTGTTTCCATGGATTGGTAGGGAATCCAATTTATATAATGTACTTTAGGACTGGGCAAATCCTTCTAAAAGGTGCTGCTGAACACAATGGAGCACTTCTTTTGGGCTGTGAGTTCAAGCTGTCTGCATACATGCAGTCTAGTCACCTCCCTGTCTTTTTCCCAGCAAAGAAAAGTGATTTTGCATGTATGAACATGCAGGAACATCTGGAAACAGCACCCAAAGTAGTTGTGCAGGCTTGGAAAAAGATACGGCTGCTTTAACTATTTGAAAAGTGGAGCTTCATATATGCTCCTCCCCTGAATCCAGAAGCATCTGTATGTATGTATGTATGTATGTATGTGTGTATGTATGTATGCATGCATGCATGTTCAAGCATAACTCTGGAATACCTTGAGCAATTCCAACCAAACTTGGCACACAGATGACTTACCCTCTGGAGACAAACACTGTGGGAGTAAGACACCCCTAACACCCCTCGGTGTGTGTGTCCTGACACGCAGGTGGCACACAGAGCTAGCTCAGCTCCACCATCCATGCTGATATTTGGGTCTCTGCTGCACATGCACAGGGGGCAGGGGGAGCATGGGGGTGAGGTGCAAGCCCCCCCGCCGTGGCCCATTTTGGCTGCAGGGAGGTGTACTAGGCCAAAAATGGAGCACGGGGGACAGCACAGCCCTCCCGCAGCCCGTTTTGGCTCACAGGAGGCTGCAGGGAGGCCTACTAGGCCCAAACAGGTCATGTGCACATGCGCTGTGGGTCGTGTGCAGATGCGCGGGAGGCAGGGGGATTAGGATGAAAAAATATCCAGGGAGCACCGGGTCATCAGCTAGTATACAATAAAGTAACTTTTTTTTCTTTAGGACTAAGGCTGAGAAGTCAAAGAAGAGAAAAACACAACAAACTGCTCTTTTTTTAAAAAAAAAAACCAAGTTGTTCTAGCACCTAATCATTTTTCAAGGCAAATTTATTTGAGAACTTTCTAACTGTGGAGTGTCACCTAGAGACGTGCTCTTGGGACATTTTGTGCAGCACAAGAATGAGGTATCATACTCTGATGCCCTCCTTTGGAGCTCTCATCTTTCACTGGCATGCCATCACTGATGTCTCTGCAATGACATCCATTCTCTTCTTTGGCACTGACCTATGACAACTAAAAATAACAGCTTGGTAATATAGAAAATAGACATTAACATGTTTTAGCAAAAAGAGCTGCACATATACCAAACTTTATTTAGTTATTCACTGAAGGAGGTAAATTTAGAGACAATGGCTTTTGTCTTTACACTAGTCAAATAATGCAAATCACCCAGACCTCCTGCTTAAAAAGCAGGTGGAGGATCTTTGAACAATTGCATCTTGTATACCAGCTGCAGCCATTTTTTGGAAGAGGGGGCTTAATGCATGCCTTTGTACTTCACAAGTGGCTCTCATGGGGCTGCCCTTGAAGACTGGTCAGTCACTTTATTTGGTTCAGTAATTGGCTTGAATAGTTACAGGAGTACTAAGGTTCACCGATATGACATCTATGTAACACCATCGATTGCAGATGCAGCAATGACTGCCAAGTAATTCCAAATGCAGCTCAAAATGCAGGTTGTCACCTTTAAAACCATACATCAGGGCTGTCAAACTCACGGCCCATGGGCCATATGAGTCACACGGTGGCCACACCCATGCCCGCTTTAGCGAAGGGGGAAAAGTTGTGATACATCACGTGACACCGCTGTGACGCCACAAGTTTGACACCCCTGCCGTACATAGTTTAAGGCTTGGATATCTTCCAAAATCATCTTCCCCAAGATTAATATTCTCCTTTGGCGTGGTCTGTCAGAAAGGCCTTGCTGTGGGTCCCAAATCTGATAAAATGTCAGGAACCTGTGCCACCTTGTAAATATATGAAATTTGTTTTTCAAACTGTATATTATAGGCTAAGAAGACATTTCCATGTGTTAATCCCATCCATTGTGTTATAAAAAAATCCATCACACAAGTGAGCACTTATGCAAAAAGATGCAGGTTAAGTTACATGATCCAAAAATTCCAATGTCTCCATATAAATACAAAGAGTATTCCAGTGTTTCTATATAAGAATTAGGCAAGAAGAAGAAGAAGAAGAAGAAGAAGAAGAAGAAGAAGAAGAAGAAGAAGAAGAAGAAGAAGAAGAGGAGGAGGAGGAGGAGGAGGAGGAGAGGAGGAAGGAGGAGGAGGAGGGGAGGAGGAGGAGGAGGAGGAGGAGGAGGAGGAAGGAGGAGGAGGAGGAGGAGGAGGAGGAGGAGGAGGAGGAGGAGGAGGAGGAGGAGGATATAGCAGATAGAATTTCAACAGAAACAAATGTGAAGTCTTATATTTGGGTAGGAAAAATCAAATACCCATAGGAGTATAAAGTGCAGGGGAAATACCGTATT